AGGATCTGAAGGCCTTAGGAATGGACCTCAACAGATGGGAAACCCTGACATCTGAGCATTCAGCCTGGAAGGAGGCAGTGCATCACAGCCTCGCCCATTTTGAAGATATACTTGTCCAGCAGACTAAGGCAAAGAAGCAGTTCAGAAACCAGCAAAATCAGGAAGTTGGACAGGGACAGATTGTATTTATCTTCAGTGTGGAAGGGATGGTCATTGGCCTTCTCAGCCACACTAGATGCTGTCCCAAGTCCTCCATACAGAGCACGTTACCATAGTCTCTCGAGACTGAAGGATGCCTAATAGGTAGCCTAATGTGAATGTGCTGTATTAACTCTTAAAGGTAAATGATAGCTCAGGTCAAAAGTCAACAAAAGTCCTAGAAGACTGCTAGTTGCATATTTAAGACACTTATGCACAGTTCATGCCCAAACGTTTTCACTGTTGGATTTACTTTGTAGCTGTCAGCAGATGGAAGCATTCTTCCCCTGTTCCTGCAGAAGCTTTGGAAAGTTATGTTTTGGACTACAACTCCTAGAGTCCCACAGTTTACCTGGCAATAGCCATTCTAACTGAAGGATTCAAGAGGGCTTAGCGAAAACAAAACAAGGCACACCCAAACTTTTCCAAGCACTGGTTCAATGCTGGTTCCTTCCTGTTGTAGTATCATTCACTATGTCGAGTAGTGCCAAAGAAAGCTGGTACTATAAGGATATGACTGTTGCAAGGGATTGACAAAAAGTTTGGTTGTGATTAGAGATGGGCACAAAGCGCTTCATGCCGTGTTGTCTCAAGGTGTTGATGCAGCACCACAAGTGCCATGCGTTCCCTCCTACCACTCCCCGGCTGGCTCTGTAACTCACCAGCTGGTGGCACGGTACTTTTCTCCTGTTCTTTGCACAACTCTCCAGTCGCAGCAGGAGTGTCTGTTTCCTTTCTCCGACTCCTCTGGCAGCCACCCACTCAAAGGCTGTGTTGCAGGAATCCTCGCCCTGCCTCCTCATCTAAGTGAGCGGCCAGCAGAGGAGGCAAGGGATCGAAGCAGACTCTCCTGCTGTGACTGGTCAGTTGTGAGAAGACCAGGAGAAAAGCGACATGCACCAGCTGGTGAGCGGGGGAGCCGACCAGAGAGTGGGAAAAGGGAATGCACGGCACCGATGCTGCCATGCCAACAACTTGAGATGACACATCACGAAGCACTTCACGCCCATCTCTAGTTGTGATACCCTGGATTTGATTGTGGTTTTTTATTTGATTTCATTTTTGTTCTTAGTTGTATTGTCTGTTGGGTGTGTGTGTGAGGGAACCTGATCTTTATTTTTATTTTTTTATAGCCATAGCATTTAGAGTAACTGTGTTTCCAATGCAATTTTTGGAATCACTTTTTTAAAAGCACCTTTGAATCTCTGCAAAGGCCTTTTGGCTGGAAATGAAAGAAAGCTGGACAGGATTTGGTTACTGGATTTATTTTCAGGATGACCTGCACATCTCTTCCCTGTTTCCATGAAGATGGAGAAATACTTTGTAACTTTTTTAGTGAAGTGCAATCAATATTCTTGAAAATCACCCTGCCTTATGATTGTGCTTAACTAGACTGCAGCCATGCAAATAACTGTTGGTGCTAAATGGCAGATATCCACCACTTCTTGTGTAGACTGCTACTCCCAGGCTAATTTCCTTCATCCTTCATCTCCAAAGCTGTTCATCTTATTTTCTTTTGTTAGAGAGAGATAGCCATATATGGAATCCCAATAATGACTACCATTAGACATGTAAACTTCTGTAGCAGTTTCTGTAATTCATTTAGAAATCATTTGTCTTGCATATTCTTGAAACAATGAAGCATAATAAGAACTGCTAGATAGCTCAGTGGTTTAGTTGAAATAAAAGGGAGCCCTGTCATCTTTACAAAATACAAATGATAGAGTAGGTGATACCTTTGTAGACCACTTCAAAAAAATCATCATACAATCTGTGAGCTTTAGTGGATCAGGACTAACCACTTAGTTCTAAGATGATGTTGATGATTATTTACCGTATTTTTCTTTTCTCTAATTCTAATTTTCAGAGTTGTTACTCCTGTTTAGTAACCACACATCCAATACTCAAGTGCTATTCTCTTATCAGTGTAAATTATTGCTAATAAAATCTGGTAACAGACCTCAGCCTCATCTGTAATGCACAACAGTTTTAAAGAGAGCAAAAGAGAAAATAGAATCAAGCTGAACAAAATCTATGGTTGAATGAAACAAAGAAATCTGTTCATAAAGAACAGAAAAAGATCATAAAACAACCTGTTTCATAACTGTGATCTAAGAAATAGTCTACCTTTCCAGGCATCCCATAAAGGTTGTTGCAAAGGTGAATTTGTAAGAAAACAAATTAAATTGTTGTTCTACAAATATGCATCTGGTGGGACTAGTGGGGGAGGAATAGCACTAAACAAGAGAAGGGCATCGATTATTTTGTAGTAATGATTTGTCCAGTACGAGTTGCATAATGCTTGTGAAGCAAAACTACACAAAATGCTGTTTGCAATTCTGTTAGGCCAAGCAATTAATAGACCTTAAGATATTAAAGCAGATCTTAGATTTTTTTTAAAAAAAAGATAAAAAGTTCAGGGCACTTTGAAATGTGGATTTCTTTTGAGAACTAAAAATACTGCAGTTCAAGTTTGATCTACAGTCTGTTCGAAATCCATACTGTACGTACATCTCCCGGCACACTCTCCTAGAACAACATGTCAGTTTATGTATACACATGGGGAAAAATAATTACACTGCACTCATATTTTTACCCCTTCTTCTGCCTGCCACTGCAACAATTTTTAGAAAGGCATTGATAAATCATTTATTATCCATACAGGTAAACAGAAACGAAACTAAATTAGTCCATGTCTCACAGATGTAGGGTCAAGTTTTGTCGAGAACAGTGGGTATAACATGTCAACCACATTGCTGGATAGTTTGCTTCCCCCATCTACATATGTTATACCTTCTCTTCCTAATGACGTCCTCTGGTGGAATTCAAAAGGCCATTTTGTCTGGAATCCTATTAGCAATGCAGAAACTATCTGCTTCGCAGGCAGAGTGCTCCATGCCTTCCCCAGAGATCTCTGGGTTTGCACTTATGTCATTTGGAGCTTACTTGAAAAACAATGGAGCTGACACATGTGCATAAGGCGTAATGAATACCTCCTTGCGCAACTGTCATAAAAAGACAACTGTGCGCAAAGGGGCCACTGCACACATGGAAAGAAACAGGGTTTCCTTTCCTTTCTGTGTAACATTTGGTGACCCAATAAGACATTGTGCAAGCTGGAACTTTGTGTCTATGGATGGATCACATGGTTACTTATTCATTCATCAAAGAACAGAACATGTTGGACCCCTAGGACCACATACAGCCCTCAACTTAATTTCATGAAGCCCCTTGCCCAAATTCCCAAAGTTCTAACGGCCATCTGGTCAGACATCTGTCATCAAGACACTATCTGTTTCTGAGCAGCAGCACACTTGACCAGTTTCCATGGCCCAGCAGGGATTTGAAGGTCTCCCAAGTCCTAGCCCATCACTACACCACACTGGCTGTCTTGTTCATTGTTTATTACAACATACTCATTTTTCACAAACGGTATGCAAACTTTTAGCCACATCTAGTTTCATATATTTTTCTTTCTGCTTCAAGCATTTTTTTTGGAGGCTTGGTGTATCCCCAAAAGCTTGTGTTTGTGCATCCCCCAACTTGCCCACCCTGGCTCTAAGGCAACCTTAGAATTTACCTCTGTTGCTGTAGTTGTGTGTGTCCATGAAGGACAAGCCCAGCCTCTCGTCCTCCTGCAGGGTACTCTGGTCTGTAAAGCTCCGATCTATCGCATTCATCATGTGTGTCTTCTCATTTCGGTAGTTGATTGTTGCTTTGGCCATGTTGACTGGCTTCCTAATGCAAAATTGTAAAGAAGTGAGATAGGCATAAGCTACAGAAAGCGATCCACTCGTGTAATCTTGTGCCAGAAGATTTTTCAATAACAAAACTAAATCAGAAAGACTAAGGGTACAGTTACACTATGGAAATAAGTAGGGGATAGACTGGGGTTTTTGAAGTCAGTTTAATGTCACGTGGTAGTCACGTGGTTTGGGGACAGTGTGTGTGTTCTCTTGGGACAACTCCCAACCCATTAGTAAGCTGTGTTGTATACTGGTCAAGAAAGGCTATAGGGGCTTTTGAAATTATTGTATTTCTAAGCAAATTGACACCCCGGGGCTCCAGCTCCAAATGTTCCACCCTGCCAAGACTATGTGGAGTGAAATATATGCACCAAAACCCTAAAAGAAAACCCTGCACTGTCCTAGCTGCAGGGAGATGTCCTGGTTGCTGGAACGTCCTCCTGGAACCACTTTTGAGCATTTTGTTCTGCATTCCCCCCCCCCCAGCCTTGGACTGGCTGCCTCTCAAAGACTTTTGCTGCCACTGCTGCAAACGCACTTCATGCATTGAGATGGCATCAGCAGCAGGGACAAAATCCATGTTTATTTTTATTTTTGATTTTTTTCAGAGTGGCACAATGATAAATCAGTGCTACAGATAGACTATAACTCACTTTTCAACATAAAAAAATTCATGCTTCACTGTACATCATGTAGGCAGAAATTTTGTAATTGATATCAAGCATGCTAAACCTGACACAAAACCAGGAGTATTATGATGTGTAAACATGCCCTAAGAAACCACATATTTAAGCGGAACGCACATTTAGCAAAAAAGATTATCAATTTTATTTCAGAGTGAGCTTTCAAAGACCAAAGTCCACTTCCCCAGTCATTGGGATGTAAATACAATGTAGGCAGAAATTTTGTAATTGATATCAAGCATGCTAAACCTGACACAAAACCAGGAGTATTATGATGTGTAAACATGCCCTAAGAAACCACATATTTAAGCGGAACGCACATTTAGCAAAAAAGATTATCAATTTTATTTCAGAGTGAGCTTTCAAAGACCAAAGTCCACTTCCCCAGTCATTGGGATGTAAATACAAGGGTGTCATCCCTTTTCAGGTTTTCTAGGTAGAGGGGATTCGGAAATGGTCTACCAATCCCTCCTTCTTCAATTGAGGGGGATCCTGGGACTATGAAGCTTGCCCAAAGCTACACAGAGATAGCTTTTCTGGGATGCATAATGGGAACTGAACTCCCAACATTTGGCCCCAAAGCCAGTTACCTAACTGACTGAGCTATCCAGCCATAGTAAATACATGATTGGTATTTATACACACCCCAATCAGCTGTGGGTATGGATAGTAACTGAAACAGATTAACACAGCTACTTCTTTGTTACCCAACTGACTGAGCTATCCAGCCATGGTAAATACATGGTTGGTATTTATACACACCCCAATTAGCTGTGGGTATGGATAGTAACTGAAAGAGATTAACACAGCTACTTCTTTGGGAATCAGAAAAAGTAATTGTTGAGCAGCTGCCTCTTCTAGTAGCCCAAGAGACTTTAGAAACCTTTTATTTGTATAATGCTTGCGCATGACAATTATAAATAAAACGCTTTACTTTTATACGTGCTTCCAAACAATGAGCCATTTATCCAATTGATATACCTCCAGCTGCAACCAAACTGAGGTCAGTATAGTAAGCTATTCCTTATTCTGTTTGAACCTTGGAATTCTGTAAACTTTTTCGAGAGTTCAGAAAACAAAGGTTCACATTCTTTTTTTTAATATTGTTGCTGCTTTCCTTCCAAAGAAGTTTAGATAACATACATGAAGTTTTCAAGGAAATTCCTAACCAGACACTGAACAAACTGAAGCACAATGCAGTGTATTGCTGCATTGCATAGTTTTAGATCACTACACATTGGGGCTTTTAACCATCCCGAGTGACAGAAAGAGAGAGATTGAGAGAGAGAGAGAGAGAGAGAGAGCTAGAAGTGCTGTACATCTACTCCCAAAGCTGAGCTGTCTGCTGTCCATTTCCCTCCAGTGACTTGAGTACAGGGACTTTGACATTATTGACAACATGCAAGGTCACCAGAGGGTCATGGACAGCAGGTTCATCTTCATAATCATTGTCATGATAATTACAATGTAGCACTAATGGTGCAGTCCCACTTCTCTTTCATGCTTTCAGTTTATGGAAATGGGTGATTCTGTCTCCATAGCTCAGTAGACTCCATCTGGACATTGTAAGACTTCCTTTGAGGAAAGATTGTCTGCTAGTTGACTTCAGGGGAAATAGCACTCCAGGAATGAAGGCATGAGATAGTAATTGAGGTTTAAGCATGATTACTTTATTTTACTAATGATGCTCTATCACAAACATTAATTTAACGTATCTAACATATGGTAAAGAATTGTTCCTATATTTCTTATTCCTGGGCAAGACAGACTGTCAAGGATTCATTATCCATCCGTGCCCCTTTCTTCTGCTGAGATTTCTTCTTTTTGCACAAAATGTCTCTGAGCAAAACTAGTGCCTTCCCATTGTGAAGACAAGCATACAAGCATATAGAGAGAAAGCACAGGACTGGTTGATTTATCAAAAACATGCAAGCAACCCATCCAAGGCTTCCAAATGTTAACTCCATGCAACAAGATACAATTAACATCCAGCAGTAAGAGGTAGAAAAGATAATATGTCCCCTACTACAATGTTGCCTGAGGATGCACCAGGAGACCTTACTAAAATCTTCCCTCAAGCTCATATTACTTGCTAGTTGTGGCCAACACAATTATTGTCTCAGTCTGGCAAATCAGTGAATGTCACATTCTTATTTACTTTAGCATTACTGAGTTGTGGGGTGGTGGAGTCCTCTCTTGGACCGATTATGAATGTCACCTCTCATCTAACTTTGGCTACTATCAGTTGCTTTTTGCCATCTTAGATCCCTCCGCTAAGTCTTATTTTCCAAATACAGTATATAGAATTAAATTTTACTATGATCATATTAAAACTAATAAAATAAATGAATAAAAAAATCTGGCTGTTATTAGTACTTATATTGATACACTGGATTGTCTCCCGGTTTCGAACCCCTTCCTACTACTTCCTACCACCATTATTACCACTACATTTCTGGAAGTTAGTCTGCTTCCCATCCTAAGAATCCAGTGCATAGAACCTCTCAAAAAGACTTCTGTGTTGTAGGCAATGCTGTTATTCAGAGATCATTAGTATTTTCCCCTTACCCTGTTTCTCCTCCCTTCCATTATTTCTCCCCTGTGGATTCATCAAATAGTGTTCTTCTTATACAGATCAATTGAAGTGAAAAGTCCCCTATGGAAAATTATACTGACAGTGACCTTTCTCAAATAGAAAACTTAATTTCTAACAAGACATAATTTTCTCCTCTCTCTTAATAGATACACTGACAGAAATGCAGGGGGGAAATATCACTGCCCCAAGATTTCAGCTGCTTTCTCTGATAACACATGAAAAATTAAGATAACCACAAGCATTTTGTGGTGTGTGTGGTTTTTTTTAATGTAACAGCCAACCAGTATCACTCCACATTCTTCTCCCATATAGTAACCTGCAGGTGGTTTAAACACAGTTCCTATCAGGCCCAGGCACCCTACTCAATGGTCAGGTATTATGGTTATTGCAGTGTAAAACTACCCAATGGTTGGGTGTTATTTTTATTCTACTGAAAAACATCTGGACAGCATCCCATTGGAGAAGCCAGAACTAGAATCTATAATAATCATAATTCCATACCATAATTCAGATTGAATGCTATTCTTTCCAGGGTTTCTAGATATGGAGTACTCATAACTGGTTTACCATTACCACCTTCCAAGAATTCTACCACTTGCCCAAAGCTACACAGGCTGGTTGTTTTCCAGAAAACAAAGTGGGGAATCAAAATCCCAATCTCAGTCTCTGCAGCCAGACACCTAAACCACTGAGCTAACCAGCCAGCCCTGCACTAGAATCTAGAAAATTGCAATTAAAAAGAAACCACTGGAAGATGCCATAGGAGAAAGCTGTACTAGAATCTGCAGCATTGTTTATCTTTGTGATGTTGCACTTATGTGTATTCGATACTATTGATTAGCTCTCAATGTGATTCTAAGTGTAGGCAGAATTCGTCAGCTACTGTAGTTTCTATGGACGGAAAAGAGCAGATACGGATTAAATAGTTTTCAATGCATTCCTATGGGAAATGCAGATTCAACATAAGAACTTTTCAACTTGAGAACCACCTTCCAATACGGATTAAGTTCTTAAGTAGAGACCCCACTGTACTTACGATCAGCTTCTACATTCCAACAATAACAGAACAGAAAAGTTTTGGACCCAGTTCTTAAGACACAGCATTTCAGAAATTCAAAGTTAGAAACCCCAAATGCAGTTACTGCAGCAATATAGCCTAAAATCGAAACTACACATGACTTTAACTGTGTAGGCTCTGCCTTCGAATTCAGTTTCCCCCTACGAATTGCTAACATGAGCTCCTGATCTAGATTAGGATCCTAGCATAGGTTGGAGAAGGTTGCATTAATCCTTACTCTATTATGGGTATAGACCCATATCAGGGGTCCTTCCATTTGCATTGCAAAAAGGTCTCTCTGAACTCAATGGGACCATTCCCTGAAATGCATGTCAGCGTCACAGAGGGGCCCTCTTTTCTTTTCTCCCTAATCCTCACAACCACATCTCTCCTGGGGATACTTATTGGATTCTGAATGCAACTGCAGGTTGACATATCTCCTGGATTTCAGAGGAAAAGCTTGAGGAAATGCTGTTTAGTCTACTCTAAGACAGAACTTGCTGCCCCAGCTTCAGTGGCGCATAATAGTTTTCCGATCTCCTTAATGAAAGACTGTACTGTATTTTATGGAACATCCTGTAGTGTGAGACAATGTTAAAGAGAAAAATGACCTTTTGAGAATGCACAGACCATCATCAATGCAGTGTCACTACCGCTTTCTCTGAGTCATTGGAACAAATGCAGACTCTCTACATTCCTCCCACCATGACTAGCTTGAATACAATAAATGAGATTTATCTTCTCATTCCAGAATTTGGCAGGTTTAAGCCACAGATCTTCCACTTTTGAGCCAAAGCTTGGAATACTGTTATTTTAAAGTAATATACTATTGATGTTATTATTTTCAGCAATTACATTTTTAAAATGGTATAATATGAGTCATGTTTTACTTCTTCATTTTTTTGTTTAAAAATGTAGTTACAAGTTTAAAAAAGACCACGAATGTGAAAACAATCCCCAAAATTATTCCCCAAGACCATTTTAAGAGAAATGAGTAAACATTACTTCTTATACATCCAAAAAAGAGTAAGACTATTAGAAGATATTTTATGTGAATCCATAAGAATATCATAATCAGCCTTATTACAGTGAACATTGTTATTTCTCAGCTCCAGGAAATCGTGGGTGAGACAGCTTATCTGGATCCATTTCAATATGGTTGCAGGACAGATGGAGAAGGTTTTAGCTTTCTTGATACATGGATTGCTCCAAGTACTAGACAAGGTGGGATCCTTTTTAGTTTGGCTTGACTTCTCAGTACCTTTTGATACCATCAACCATGGAGACATCCTTCCCAGAGATATCTGTTTTGGTCACTATGGTACATGCCTTAGTCTATCCCACATGGATTATTGTTAACACCCTCTGTATGGAGCTGCCTTTGAAGAACATTTGAAAATTTCAGCTTGTCCAAAATGTCACTGTGAAAGTGTTGACTGGAGCCAGTTACAGGAGGCATACAAGACCTCTGTCTCAATAACTGCACAAGCTATCAGTCTCTTTCAAGGCCCAATTCTAAACACTGGTTACAATCAATAAAGCACTACATGATATGGTTCCAGTCTATCTGAACAATCATATCTACCTACAGGAGGCACCTCAAGTTTAAGATCTTTAGGGGAGGCACATCTCTTCATTCCAGAAGCCATCACAAACAAGTTTAGTAAGGCCAAAAGAAAAAAAATGTTTTTTTTGCTTTTCCTGGCTGTTCCCAGGCTGTGGCACTTCCTCCCACAGAAAGCCAGAATGGATCCCCCCTTGTTATCCTTCCACCAGTAAGCAAAGATCTTTTTCTTAGGGATGTAAATCTTTTCTTATTTATTTCTTGTAGGTGAGAATGAAAAATGTCACAAATGTTCACCCTCCTGGGAGACATTATGAGTTTTCACATGTTAGCACCTTTCCCCCCCCCCAAAAAAATGGAAGTGTATTTTTGTGGGGACTTCACACAAAAGCATGTGTTTCATACAGAAAACTCTGTGGGGGTGGGGGGGCAAAATTAAGTTTTTAGTGACAAATACAAGCCTTTCACACTTTCCCCCCCTAAATACTGAAAAATACTGTTGCTGAGTTTTGTTCTCATGTAGGAGCAAAAAAAAATCTTGCTGTGATTGCCCTCTCTTTCTGACAGCATGACCTAAAGTTTGGAAACAACTTTTACTTATCAAGAGCAAGATTGAGATCATAAGTAGAGATGGACACGAATTTTAAAAAACAAATCATGAAATTCATTCAAAAAATGGTAATTCATCAATTTGTATTTGTACAAATCGATAAATACGAATCAATGAATTTTTTGCAATTTTTTAGCAAATTTTGATTTGTTGGTTTGTTTGGCTATAAAACAGCCCCCCAGGCATCTAGCAGCACCAAAATTGCAGAGAAGGTTGCTTTTCCTCTGCCTGTCCTCTACAATCCCTCCAACCCCCCAGGCATCTAGCAGCACCAAAACTGCAGAGTAGGTTGCTTTTCCTCTGCCTGTCCTCTACAATCCCTCCATGTTTGGTGAAGATGGGGTTCTAGATATCCAAGTTATACACCCAAAAAAGAGGGTCTCCCTCAGACACCTAGAGACATCAAAATCACTGAGTGGCTTCCCATGATTTCCCACTACAGTCCCTCCAAGTCTGGTGAAGACTGGGTTTCCTCAAGACAGTTGCTAAAGGACAATTTTCTGGGAAGACTCACTCACTGCCTCGTGGCGCAGTGGTTAAACTGCTGTACTGCAGCCAAAACTATGCTCACGACCTGGGGTTCAATCCCAGGTAGCTGGCTCAAGGTTGACTCAGCCTTCTATCCTTCCGAGGTTGGTAAAATGAGTACCCAGCTTGCTGGGGAGGGCAATGTGTAGCCTGCATAATAACTTGTAAACCGCCCAGAGAGTGCTTGAAACACTATGGGGCAGTATATAAGCAGCACACTTTGCTTTTATTCATGTATAACTTGGATGTCTGAAATCCAAATTTCACCAAACTTGGAAAGTTTGTAGAGGGGAATCAGTAGAGGCTTCTCTGTGACTTTGGTGTCTCTTGGTGCCTGGGGGGAACTTTTCTGGGGAGGGCTCTTAGTGGGTGTATAACTCGGATGTCCGAATCCCAAATTTCACCAAATTTACAGGGAGTGTAGAGGAAAATCAGGTCTGGGGAGGGCTCTTAGTGGGTGTATAACTCGGATGTCCGAATCCCAAATTTCACCAAATTTACAGGGAGTGTAGAGGAGAATCAGGGAAAGCTTCTCTGTGAATGGGGTGTCTCTAGGAGCTGTGGGGGCATCTTATAGGATCTTAATGTAAAAAATTGAATTGACATTGGGTGTCTCTAGGTGCTGTGGGGGCATCTTGTAGGATCTTAATGTAAAAAATTGAATTGACAAATTGATTCATTGATTCATCAGAAAAAAATCATAAATTTGTAATTCATGATTCATATATCTTGATGAATCACAAATCAAAATGAATCATTTTTCTGATTCATGCCCATCTCTAGTTATAAGCCAACTGTTGGCTGAGAAGCATGGAATTTGTACCCAAATACATTTGGAAAGTGGTAGTTTGGGAAAGGCAACCTTTAAAATATAAATGCAAAAACAGGTGATACCTTTACATACCACTAAAAGAATCATCATACAATACATGAAATTTCATGAATTAAAAAAAAACACTTTATCACATGTGTACCAGTGTGAAGAGCTTTAAGTCCAAAAGTTTTTGGCAAGATGGAAATTGCCAGGCACATCTCTCTTAGATGTAGGTCAGGAGATAGTATGGTTGCCATTTTATAGTTACAGCTGAGACAGCTGTGGATTGAGTGGATTCTTTAAAATATTGTATTTCACAGCAATTTGGTTTCTCCCATTGATCTCCGTCTATTTTCTTTCCATCTCCACCTAACTGTGGAAACATGTATGCTCTTCCCTTGCTCTTCAAACAGCACATATTGGAAAGAAAATATGACTCAAAACTTTAAAAAATCCAGTCAAAATGTCTATTAAATATTTTAAAATAACCTTACCTTCAAAAAATAACTAGACTTCACTATCAAATACCATTGTGACTTGCGAAAACTTGAAAAATCCTATAATGTCTATAAAATATTTTAAAATACCCTTACCTTCAAAAAAATAACTAGACTTCACTATCAAATACCATTGTGACTTGCTATGTTACTTCTGAAGTTTACCCTATTATACCTTATTACTTTTTTTAAAAGGTACTACAGTGGTGCCTCGCTAGATGATGATAATCCATTCCAGCGAAATCGCTGTTTAGCGAAATCATTGTCTAGCGAAAATCAAATCGTCATCTAGCGAAAATCGGTTTGTGAAGCAGGGACCAAACATTGCCCAGCGAAATTCCCCCATAGGAATCACTGTTTTGCGAATCGCTATAGTAATCACAAAAAGTCAATGTCTAGCAAAAAAACTGTCATGCGGGGTAACTGTCTAGCGAGGGACCACTGTATGTTACAGGCAATTGTGTCACTGCAATTTGTTACTTACTAACTGTGAGTTAACACTGGGCAAACAGAAAATGCTCACAAATCTCTACACGAAACTAGCCTCCAACCAACCCAATGAGAAGCAGAAATTAGTGTGATCTCAAGATGTGCAGATTACAGGATACGGTGGAATCTGAATGGGTTATGCACATTCTGGATGTAGCTGGATGCTCTGAAGCAGTGGTTCCCTTGAGTAATCCAGGTGTTCTTGGACTGCAACTCCCAGAAACCCTGGATAGCACAGCTGGTGGTGAAGGTTTCTAAGAATTGCAGTCCAAGAACACTTGGGTTACTCAAGGTTGGGAACCATTGCTCTAGAGGGAATCTCAGGTTCTGATTCCCTCCAGCTGCAAATACTTCCCCTCCTCCTTTTGTTCAGGACTCACAACATTTAATTGAAACAGCATTCCCCCCTCCCCATACACAGATACAAACAGGGTGTTTTTAACATTTATGTGACAAGAAAAGGAAACAGTCAGGAGCAAGGAGCAGTGGAGCAAGCACGAGTGAATGAGAATTACTTACGGATAATAGGAATAGGAATAGTAGTTCCTCCTGGCAAGCGTGCAAACAAAGAGAAACAGCAGATATTGCATAAGCAGCTTTTTTTCTTGGCAAATAATGAAGGAGAAGATGGGATACTTGGAGCCTAGAAAATGACAACAGACCCGAGACGGGCCATTGTCCATGCAAGGGGAAGGGAATGGAGTTGGGGAGAGGATGAAAAGAGGAAAGAGAGAGACCAAGAAAGCAATCAGCCAAATAATGGGAGGAAGCTTTCATGCTTGCTCTCTGCCTGAAGGCAAGCGAGGTCACCTGCCAACCCGAGCTATAGATAAGAGGGAGAGCAACTTGCAGCCCTTGGTCTAAATTCAAAAACTCCTGCAAGCAAGCAATTAAGACATCTAGGAATAGGAATCTGTCCATTGTCCTGGAGGTTCACTGGGCAGGGAAGAAGAGGAAGAGAGAAATGGGGTGTCAGAAAAGGAGATGAGGGATGACAGGGAAATGGCAGAGGCAGGAAAGAAGGGGATGTTAAAAAGAAAAGATGACATGGGGGAGACACCACTTGGTTTAAATTCTTTCCGTGTCCACCACTGGCTTCAGCAATCCCCGCAATTAGCAAACAGTTCCCAAAAGGTTATACCCATCCCTGAAGAAATGGCATTGTCAACAGGGGTAAAAAAGGATGCCTGCTCCTGTTTTAGATCAAGAATGGATCACCAACAAATGACATCAGGTATCTTTAAAAGCACAAGTAGCAATAGTGGGTGTGCTAATGTAAACTGAAGGAGATATGTAAGGTCTTGAGCACTTTTTGGCCTATACCCAAATACTCTCATTGGATTTATACATGTCCACTCTTACCTTTACACAACAAAAGGGTTGGAAGCATGAAGGGGCATATGAGTGAGGACACAATGTGGGTGGAAATTTCATTTGAAGTCATGCTTAGATTCCAAGATTGTTCCTCTAGTTGAGGAATTACCAAACGGCACCAAAATCAGCCAAAAGTCAAAAGAGTGTTGACAATAGGAAGCGGTGACGGTAACTTTCCTTCGCCTCACTTCTTCCTGAAATGTCTCTCTGAGATTAAGCAAGAAGTCTCAGGCAGACCTTGGACACATTCGTAGTGGTGCTAACCCATCATATTAAATCATTAAAGAAAATTGACTTAATTTGTGAACTTTAAACTGTTAAGTCTGCAGAATTGATTTAGCAATTAATTTGTTTTTGCTAAACAAAGAACAACATTTAAAATTACCAAAAAGGGGACAGCAACAAATTAAAGTAATGAGAAATCTGATAATTCCCCCCCCCCATAAAAATATGATGTTGCTGACATTTAATAATTAACTTTAAAAATCATTCATATAAATGTTATGGGTAATACTTTAATTTTGTGAAACCCCGTGTAGTGTTGTGCATAGAGTAACAGATTAGGACTCAGGCGATCTGGGTTTGATGTCATGAAAGCAGTGTGGAACTGGTAAAACGACTCCTTAAATATGTCACTTACCTTTGAAAGCCTATTAGGGTCACTATAATATGGTTCTGACTTGATGGCAACAGCTTTAATTTTAAATCAATTATTTCCAAGTCCTGATTTTGGGTTTTGATTCGAGATGGGCACGAACCTCATTTGGAGGTTTATGCCAGTTTGTACACACGGCACCCACAGGTGCTGCGCATTCCCTCCCTTTGCCTCCCCAGCTGGATTCCCCACTCACCAGCCGGCACACACTCCTCTCCTCCTCCTTCTCCTCCTCCTCCTCCTCCTCTATGGCAGTCCGACCCGTCTCCGCCAGGAGCACAGGCTCCTCTGCCCCACCTCCTTAGCTGATCACCCACTCAGACAAGGAGGCAGGCCAGGCAAAACTGTGCTCCTGCTGGGGATTAGTTAAACAGCTGAAGAGGAGGAGGAAAGGCGTTGCTGAGTGGGTTGTTGGCTGGGGAGGTAGGGGAAGGGAACATGCGGTACCTGTGATGCCGTGTGTACAAACCGGCACGAATCTCCAAACCGAGGTTCATGTCTATCTCTGGTTACAATGAATGAGGCAGCCACCAGTAAAAGCTGTCACATGGGAATCAACTGCTTTCTGGGAACTTATACTTCAAAAATCATCAGAAAAGATCAAAAGAATGCATCTTCGTGTTATTAGAGCTATGGTAGCATCCTGCTCTGCCTCTTTCCAGCAAGCACGATCTTTTGCAGTGACCATCCCTTCACTCCTGGGCTTTCCCCCCTCCCATTTTAGTGCCTGACCTTCGCACACAACCTTAATGCTGCAAGATTCCATGCTTCCTCTAAAGGCTAATGATGCAATTATGGGAATATGGATTTTATTGTGGAGGACTTTTCAAATCTCCATACAGAGGTATTTTTCCATACAGCAACCATTACTTTGGGAATATTTTCCCTCATGCTGACACGGCCCACAGGAATGAAAATAATACCAATATAAATTATCTGGGCCAGGTTAAAAGCAGGTTGAACAAACTCTGCAAATGGCTACACATTTGCTTTCAAGTTTGGGAGATATGTTAGAGGTGTGACCGTGTCTTGTAAGGAAACCTCTTGCAAAATACAGTGGACTCTTGACTTACGGAATTAATCCGTATTGGAACGGTGGCTGCAGGTCGAAAAGTCTGTAAGTCAAGTCTCCATTGACCTACAATGCATTGAAAACTGATTAATCCATAACCAGCCATTTTTGTTCCATTTTGGGTTTTTTTCCAGTCTGTAGGTCGATTCTCCGGCTGCAAGTCGAACCTAAATTTGGCAGCCAGAGAAGTGTAACTCGAAAAGTCTGTAAGTGGAGCCATCTGTAAGTCGAGGGTCCGTTGTATATCAAATTGGAAGCATCAAGACTTGCAAAGGCACACCATGGGGGAATACACTGGGATGAAGGCAATCTCAGAGCGTTAACTGTATAAGCAGGCAATTCATAGGCACTTCAACTACAACAAGGTGTGATAGCAAATCTTGCACTAGGCTTTATCTTTGATCAGGTCTAACTCCAGAGAATCAGAACTTCCAGATAGCTTATTTGCGGGGGAAACCATGGTTTGAGATATGAGATCAATTTTAAGGTACAGAAATCTTTTCCATCAAATCAAGGGCTATTGCAACTTTGGGGGCAAAACTGCACCCTACAATAAAAAGGAAAGCTGCTATTTAGGATATTCCCACCATCCATACCATCCTTCACCCAGTTAACATTCTACAGTCTTAAACCGGGCTGGGATCTAAACCTCCTTTAATTTCAGGATTTCCCACTGGTGCCAAAAGTTTGGTTTTCCCACCTTTTAGCACTTTTCAGGCCACAAAAACGGTTGAATTACAAAGTTATTTGTTTAACCGCAAAATTTTTATATTCCACAATGTTCACGTAAATTCACATCAAGAAGCAACTGAATGAAATTCTTATCCAACCTTAGACTCAAGTTATATGATGCCTTCTCCTGGATTACAAATGAAAGATTCGATGCAGGTTAGATTTTAATATTGTAATTTGTTTTACAAAATGTGTATTTATACTATTGATCACAGCCTTAAGAGGCCCTGAGAGTCGGATGAACCACAATATACATATTTTATATACACACATATGCAGCGAGAGAAATAAACATTCATCTCCCTGCTTTCATATGCCTGGAACACTCTTCTTCATCAGAAGTTAAATCTTCCAACTCTTCTAGGCAGTCAAAATGTATTTTATAACACCCTCCCGGACAGTTCCACTCTTTCTGTCACAGCTAAGCATGCAACCGGAACACAACTAGCATGGCACATGGGCCTGGGAGTAACATCCTGGCCCTAACTAGAAATAGCTCAGCGACATCCCTACTTTTATATCTGCTAATAAGATACAGTAGTGTCCTGGCTATATCCCAGGCAATTTATTGGCTTCCATTAGCTTCCTTCCCATTGTCAACTTCCTCACATGAGAAGTACGGAAAAAAAGCATCACGCAAGGTCATTCTGGGTCCACCACAGCCTCCAGCAATACAGACACCATGTGTTTTTTTAATCAGGAAATGAAATCAAAGTGAAGGCTGGATCCAATAAAAATAAGATTTAGGTATGTACACATAATAGTGCTGTGCAGGAGAACAAACAAGTGGGACATACAACAACAAAATGCAGTGTGGAATACTCTAGCCAGTGTTCCAGCTGGTCATGCCTTCTTTATAGGAAACTGCATGTCCTCTCCTCCATCCTCCACTTTTCATGCCTAATAGATAGTCAGCTAAGGATGGGAGGAAGGATCTGACTACGGCTAAGATGTTGGTTGAAACTTGCTGTGCAAAACTAATATATCTTCCTTTTGTGAAATGAGGCATGCACTTGTACATCCATGCACAGACAGTGCAAATGCAATAGGATGGACTGATTGGTCACAAAAACACAAAAGGGGTAATCAGAGCTGTTATGTTTACTACTTTATGGCATTAGGCAACTTCATTGTGTTTACTACTTTATGGCATTAGGCAACTTCCAGCATTGTGATGTATAGAAATTTGCAAAAGGACGCTTCAAAAATCACGCAAAATCTCTCTGGGGTTGAGAAAAAAAACATAGATTGCACCGTTTTGCAGTGAAGATTAGAACAGTTGAGTTTTTCTTGGAAGGATGAACGAAATTAAGATTTACACACCTACACTCAGGTGTGTCCAAACTTTGTTTAATGCCACTGGGGTCTGTCTGTTTGTGTGACTGTATATGTCACAGAGAGAGACAGTGAGAGAAAGAGAGAAAGCACTCTTCTTTTTTAAAAATAATACAGCTGCAAACCTTATGGTTCCCTCAAGCATTTTGATACCACTGTCTTGTTTCTAAAATACTGTCCTCTTAGGTTCACTCTTAGAAGTACTGATTACATCAGATTCAACAGGTTTTTAAGTTGTGTATTAGATAAATTAACTTAGCTGAACTGCAAGAGAGACCTTCACTGTCTCCCATTTCCCAGAATATCTATCCACTGTACCACACTCATTGTCGCTGATAACATTATACTCCACAAATCTGTCTAATCCTCTTTTACGGGTGTCCTAGTTAGCAGCCTTTGGTATGTATATGGACACTGAAAAGCAGCTGAGGTTTTATAAACCTTGGTCACTTTTTTTAAAATCTGCAACAGGTTTTCAGTTGAGTAGACTGCTGGCTGCAGCTTCATCTGGCAGTGGTTGCAGCAAAGGGCAGCCATTTTAATTTCCCACAATGCCCTGTAGCATTATGGTGTTCCTCGAGGGCATTGTGGGGAATTTAAATAGCTGCACATCACCAGAACTTAGAGAAAAAGTTACTTTTATGAAGTATAGCTCCCAGAATCCTTCAGTCGGCACAGCCTCTAGCTGTACTGCTAGGTCATTCTGGAAGCTGTAGTCTGTTCTCAAAACTGGTTTAAGCCAAAGGGCCATTTTAGGATGCAGAGGTAGCACCGTCTCATCATAGGTCCTGAATGCTGATCGCTCTCATTTGACTGTATTGGAAAACTAATATTTTGGGGTTTTTTTTTATAAAGAACGATAAGAATTCAGAATGAAACAAATTCCCCCATTGCGCGAGCACCCCCATGGGGCAGCTGTCTTTTACCTTCCATGAAAATGGCATAGCACACAGCCCATGTGAAAGATGACAAACCTCCTCCTCTTTTCCCTTCCCTTCACACAGGGTTGAATAATCCCCTTCAGATTCCTTTCTTAAAACTTAATCCTGCTTCCACATGCTGTTCATTTTAGAGTAACTGAAGTTGTGTTTGAATAGGAAAACAACTCTGGAAAGAGCAGGAAGTGCATTAAAATATTTATTGACAAGTTGGCAAAAAAAAAATCCCAACTCATTTTGAGTGTGTAATTGTTCATCATGGGTGGAAACAAACCCAAACACATACCTGTTCCTTTACTACAAGAAATGTCACTTGAGTTTGGATCTTTGTGTATAACCTGTTTAAATTCACTTTAACCCAGGGGAACAGTTTCTATATATGCTTATTCACTCACTTCCATACACATCTCCTTCCTTCTTCCCTATCCTTGTCAGGACACTTCTGTCCCACAAAAATTATGCTTTGAGACATCTTTCTGCCATGTGAAAAAAAAATCAAATGAGTATTTTACCTAGATCAATCTTCCCAAACTGGGCTCCCTAAATATGTTTTGTCCTGTAATATCCACCATCCTGAACCTTTCAGCCAGGGCAGGTAGAGATCCTGATGATGACCTGTACTGCTCTTTTCTTTGTTTGCTTCCAGAAGGACAGAAAACTTCTGGGTGGCATTCTTTCCTCTTCTGGCTGTGCCCCAGGTATAAACTGAATGCAAAAAAAACAACCCATTCAACAACTTCTTAATTTTCACATTTACATCTGATAGACCAGAAATGAATTTTGATTGCAGAATAATTTTGGCTTGAAGCCAGGCAGTAGTGGCTGCAGAGGATTTTATGAGCTGCTCCCTTTTCATTACAGCATATTCTACGCTCTGCAGAGTCACTGGACGTCTCCAAGCATTGCTGGCCACCATATAGTATTATAGTTACCCTTAAGCCTTCTCCTCAACCACATTTTATTGGCTATGTAAGACAGTAAAACTAATATTACACCTAGGTCAGCCTTCCCTAACCTGGATTTCTCTAGGCATGTCATCCAATTATTCCTATTGCCATGAAACACTGCTGTTTCTCTGCTTTGGATTCAGACACCATGTGGGTTTTTTTATCAGGAAACCAAATCAAAGTGAAGGCAATGCTTCCTGTCTGCATTCTGGCAAAAAGAGAGAGAGAGATTGCCCTGTAGCCCAAAGCAAAATCAATCAGTGCTACCAACAAATTCCCTTGATTTTTAGCCTCTGCTTGAATGTTCCCATTACCAAAATCTCCTTTCCTTAACATTACAGTGTGCAAACAGGATGCCAATGTTAGGAGATAATTCATCTCACCTCAGCATTAAAGCAGTACAAACTTCACATTTCTGTATTAGAGAGGCTGGTCTCTGTATGTGAAAAATACAATATATTTAAGCTATTCATTAACACCAAACAGCAGGCATGATTGCAAAAGAAGAATGAGGCTTGTGCTAGTATCATTAATCCTGTCAAAGGAAATTTTGGAGATTATTGGCTCAGATCTCTCATCCACATTTCCCTCGTTCTCCTTAGCAATGCTCCCGGTTTTGTTTATGAGCAAAAGACTCCCACAGCAAGCCACCAGCTTCTTTCTATTTTTCCTAAGCCATGGACAGAGACGCAGAGAGCAGTGGGCAACACAAATGCACAAAATACATGGGACGGGAAGCATGAAAATCATCCACCAGAGACTCCTGTGCGTGTGACCATCCAGCCTCTGCAGCCTGGTCTGCTTTTCCCACGCGCTTGACCACTTGTGTCTTTCTGACTCTTGCCATTCCCTGGTGGGCTGCTTGGAAAAAAAACAGCTTGAGACTGTTGCTTGAGACTTAATGTTCCTTAAAGGGTGAGGGATCGTGCCTGTCCAGGCAGAATGCTCACTAATGAAATATAGATGGAACATGAGGCAGTCAGTGGTGACCTGTTTCCTTGCCCCCTGCCAGCCTTTGAGATGCAGCTCCAAGCAGTCTGCAGGGTCCATGCTGAGCAGCTGTCCAGTCTGCTAGCAGCGAGGATCGGAACAATGACAGGATCTTGGTGGGACTAGAAACCACGCTGTGGGAAGTCCTGGTGTGACTGGGCAAAAGGATGGGGCTTGTCTCCGTCTCTCACGTCTAAGGCTCAGTGCACTGAATATTCTGGATTAATCCAGGACACAGGCAGCTTTTCTGATAGCCTTCTTCCTCATGACTCATTAAAATGACCTTAAGACAGAAAAGATATCGAACTTCGGCAGGCCTGGGGGAGCTACATTTTCATCCCCCAGCAGCTGCAAAGAAGAGCACCAGAACCCAGAAAGACACCAAACGGTCACTCCTGATCTTGGAGGCTTGATTTTGATTTTGGGGAGATTTAAGAAATACACCCACAAACAAACAAACAAACGCCACCCCTGTATTCTCGAAGGCTTTCATGGCCAGTATCTGATGATTGTTGTGGGTTTTTCAGGCTCTTTGGTCGTGTTCTGAAGGTTGTAAAAATATTTTAAAAATATTTTAAATCAAGTAATTAATTACATTAAATTAATTTCTGGTGTCTTCAGTTGGGTAAACAGAAGACACCTGCACATCACCCAACAATGACTGAATATGTATCTTCATTCCAAAGTACTAAAATCCACTTTTGACCACCAGATGTTACTGTATTTATGAGATCTATAAGCTCATTAACATCTGGTAATGAGATTCATTGGGTAATCATGGTGAGGAGGCCAAGGGCATAGGCTAGCAAAGGGAATCTGGAAACTATGAGGCCCTAAAAGCTTTCCTGAGAGCAAGGTGAAGGATTCCTAGGAGCTCTCCGGGATCCTGAAAAACCCACTCCAGATCCCAGTTACGTTTGCCCTTCTTTCAGACAAACTATGTCCAGCTGGCCTTGCTGCAACCTCCTAACTGATGTGGCTGCGCATCCACTGTACCCAGGGTCTCAAGTCTGAAAACTGCACACCTCAGCTGAAGTATCATAAGGCACCTTTTGTGGTACTTTATGTGCCCTTTCTGATACATAACACAAAGCTGAGACAAGGGACTCATTTTATTACAATGTGAAATTTGTCCATGAGAATTTCTTATTCTTTTGTGAAAAAGTGTGAAATTATTCACAAGGAGACAGATTATACGGTCTGAAGAGAAACCAGAGTATGACAGATTAAAACAGAATACATCCCTGGAAACAAGACAAGAGAGGCTTGGGGTCTTAGTCTCCTTCTGCATTATCACTGCTTTTAGTGAAACCACTGATCTCGTGGAGGAGTAGTTAATCTGCAGTACTGCAGTTAAGACTCTGCTCACAACTTGAGCTTGATCCCAACACGTTCGGGTAATTGGCTCAAGGCTGACTCAGAATTCCATCCTTCCTAGGTCAGTAAACTGAGAATGCAGCTCGCTTGGGGGGGGGGGGCAATGTGTAGCCTGCTTAATTAAATTTTCAAGCACCCAGGGAGTGTTTCAAGCACTATGAGGCAGTATATAAGCAGCACATTTTGCTTGCTTTGAAAGCAATGGTATGCAAAGGATGCGTTTCTGTTTCTCCACAATTAGCATTCAGGTGCAGAAGCAATTTCTCTGAACTCTCATCTCTCAATGGGATGCACATTCACACATGTGAATCCCAACAGCCAAAGTTGCAACAGATCTATGAAGTGACATATACAGCTGCCTTATATTACATCAAACTACTTATCCATTTAGGACTGTGTTGTTTATACAGATAGGCATTAGCTCTCCAGCGTTTCAGACAGGCGCTCATCCCGGTCTAGATCCTGGGCCTGAAATTTTCTCAAAGTTCACTGCGAATTGAGCACTACCTGACTCCAGCAATTCCAAAGGGGCAGCAACGGACAAACATGTCTGCTTTGCATTCCACCATGCTCCCATGTTGTCCTAGCACTTCACCCTCTTTGCGAATTTTCTTTAAAGTCCACTCGTATGCATTTGCTCACTCTCCCCAATATACACATTTTCTGGCATGCATTTTCCTCCACCCTTTGTACACAACTGTCTGGAAGATGCACATTTCCACTCCTGTGTGTTTTTGCCCATAGAACTGTTATCACAACATTCAGGCAGTGCAAAATCAAAAGACAACTGCCTTCCAGTCAGGCGTATTCACTCAGGAAGCAGTCAGTCTCTATTCAAATACAGGAATGTCCCCTCTTGGCAATGGCTAACTTTCCCTTCCTCTGAGAATCACCACCAGAACAAGCCTGTTAGGCTACTGGTGAGATGAAATACCTGTATGACAGAAGAAGGGAGTATGTGGAATGGCAGGTGGTGTTGCTATAACCCATGGCGAAGGCAGAGACATGTTTCCTTACCCTTTCCGAATGACAACAATGATGGCCCCCAAGAGGATGATCAGTACCACCAGCCCTCCAGCGCAAATGCCTAGGATGAGCCCCATCTCCTCTGAGTGTTGGGACACTTCCAGGGGACGCTTGCTTTCTTTGCAGGCAGCTGTAGGAGAAAAACACAGGACAGATGGGTCAAAAACGGAAAATGCTCTGACCTGCTTTGCTGGCATAAATAAACCATCACTTTCTTCCCTTCGGTCATGTACATTGAGGCTGAGGAACTCCCTCCCTTCAGCCCAAGAGATTCTGCAACATCCGCATGATAAAGGCAGTACATATGCTGGGTAAAGGGGTTTTGGACACCTTTTATATAAAATTTGTTTATTTAGGATCATATGTAGTCCCCCTTTCCTCCAGTGAGAGGATCCAAGGCAGCTCATAATGTTAAAACAAGCAATATTAAAAGACAATAAGTTACAGATTAAAAAGCAATTAAACACGCAACAACGAAAACCCATTAATTAAAAAGTATTTAAAAGTTTAAAAATGTAGAAAAGCAAAGAAACCAGGATCCAGGGACTCAGTCCTGGTTACTAAAAGCCTGCCTGAAGAGATGGGCCTTCAACAGTTTTGTTGAAACCCTTCTAGTTACTTGCCCATAGCCCATATTGGCCACAAAATCAACCTTTGATTTTTCAAAGTCAGCTACTCAGCAATAATAACATGCAGGAACGTGTACCATCATGTTCTGTAGGAATAGTCCCAATTCACTTTTTTCTGCTTAATAAATCTGATCTTGGTAAATACACTTTCTTTCAAAATTTCAAATAATGTCCCTCAGAACAACATTCTCAGTGGAATGTTAGAATTTCCAACTTCATTTCCAACTTTAACTAGTATCATGCAGGCCTCCCAAAAATCTGGGAGAACAATTAGTAGAGCTACTTGTTATACGAATCTCAGGTTTTGTAATGTGGTCAAAGTATCAGGCTGGGACTGGGGAGGTCCAGGATCCACAGAAGTATGAGACTCACTGGTGACCTTCAGCTATCTACTGTCTCTCAGCCTGTGCCACCTAACAAGGCTGTTGTAAAGAGGAAGAGAGCTATGAAGGCTATCTTGAGTCATTGGAGGAAAGAGAGCAATAAACAAACTAATAATTGAATAAAAATAATGTAAAATTGCAACATTTTTGTGATTGGTGAATAATTCATCAGACATGATATACCATATCTGCCGGTGTATAAGTCGACTGGGAGTATAAGATGCCTCCCCCAACATTCCCACTCAGAATGTAGAGTTTGTTATATACTTGCTGTATAAGACTACCTCCTCTTCTGCATGCGTGATTCTGCTTTGGCTGCATCATGGGGAGAGTTCCTTTTGCCCCTTTTGGTTCCTTTTCGGAGGCAGCAGCCATGTGGTCACATCTCAAAATGGCTGCGCCTCTCTGCTGTTCCGACAGTCAGCTGTTCGGTGCTAGAGTCAGACTGTTCCCAGGCTAGGAGCGGGGCTCTACTGGGTCTTACTACCAGGTAAGTGACTTCACTGGGAGAGAGGGAGGGTTTGCTAGACATGCACCTGGCGTACAAGACGACCTCCCACTTGGAGGCATGTTTTTCAGGGCCAAAAAGTCGTCTTGTACGCCGGCAAATAAGGTAGATTTGAAAGGCAATGGCCATTTTAAACATATAAAGTATTCCGTACGAATTTGCCCCAGATCAGTTCTAAGAATCATGTTTGTTTGTTTAATTCACTCAAGAGAATGAGAATAGGCATCCTTCAGTCTCAAGAGACTATAGTAACGTGCTCTGTATGGAGGACTTGGAACAGCGTCTAGTGAGGCTGAGAAGGCCAATTTGAGAGTGACAATTCCTTCCACACTGAGGACAAATACAGTCTGTGCCCCGTCTAGCTCCCTGATTTTGCTGCTTTCGTGACTGCCTCTTGGCCTCAGCCTGCTGAACAAGTGACTCTTCAAATTGGGAGAGGCTGTGATGCACCGCCTGCCTCCAGGCTGAACGCTCAGATGTCAGGGTTTCCCATCTGTTGAGATCCATTTCCAAGGCCTTTAATTCACTCACCCTGTGACCATATGACCTTTAGGCATGCTGTCCTTTATGACACAGCATATGACATTACTGTACCTGGGAACAGACCACTAAAATCTTCAGCCTCCCTCAGGGAAATCTGGCAGACCCTGACTTGGCATGCTGGCCTTTGCCATTGAGAGCAAGACAGAAAAACCAATCAGCCACTGCCTGTGGGCACAAATTTCACTGACTACGCCTTGCAGTATGTTCCTGACTCATCTGGGTGGAACACCAGCTACGCCAAGGAGCAAAGAGGAGTGTGTCCTTCTAATGGCTCGGTCTGGAAATGGCCAGACAGAGCGGCACTCCCGCTCACGGCATATACTCAGCCAAGCATATTCACTGCCTGTTTAATGTTCTAGTAAACATTCCAATTCAATCCCACATTAAAATAAAACATACAAACACTCCCCAAAACCTAGCCGCTTGGTGTCCTGAAACAAAGGAACCATAAACATATAAAAGAGACAAATTATGTACTCCCCATCAGCAAAACAAAAACCCACTAAGCTTGTTAAAAAAATCCTTTCTCTTAGTGCTATTGCACAAATATATTTTCTTGGAGAAGTGGTAGTTTTAAGTAGAATCCAGTTTTCACAAGGAGATATTCATGTAGGGCTATGCTGAGGCATTGAACAGAAAACACAAAACAGGTTTTAAAACATCAAGCAGCAATTGCACAATACACCCAAGCTAAGCATTGTTTGAGTCATGACTAGAGATGGGCATAAACCCACAAAGTGGGCTGGTTTGTGGTTTTGTGCCAAAACAAAATGAAGCTCTCAGAAGGGAAGCAGGCAGGCTTGTCTCTGTCCATGTGCTGGCCTAAATCGGCATGGCGGCGCAGCGCTGGCACAACCGGAGAAGGTAAGTCCACCCCCCAAGGCACCAACCAAAAACTGGACTGGTTCACAGTTCGGTTTCATGCCCATCCCTAGTCACGACACAGTCATTTTTCTTTTCTGATGAGATGACCTCTGAATGGCCATAACTGTGCGCACTACAAGCTTCCAGTAAAATTCTCAGCAGAACTTGGACAGATACTTTTTAAATGCCAAGTTTCCAGTAATCACTCCAAAGTGATAAACATTGAATACAATTACACTTTAAAAAAAACTCTTAGTTTCTTTATTATTCCAAAGAAACCCCCATTCTTACCTTTGAAACTACATTTTATAAAACATCAGCCTGCTACAAATCATGTCGCTGTAATACAAAGCACACCTACCACTCAATGGAACTATTAAAGCATCTGAAAACAGTGACAGCTGTGTAAAGGGGTTATGCTAGCCTTCGTACATTACAAATCATAATGTAATGTAGTCTTAGTAATCACAGAAGGAAATAATTGAGAACATCTCATTATTATGACTAGTTACTGACTCCGAGAAGAGCAAATCTCAAAGGGCAATTAAATTCTTGTTATTGATTAAGGGGTGCAAATTTGTTGAATTCTCACTGAAATGTGAACTCAGCCCTACCTAGTTATAATAATTGCCTTGCCCTAGGGCAAATACTACGAACCAGCCATCTTTAATTTCCTAGTTATGCTCGGATAATATTCAAAAGAGATCACGAGTCAACAATATCTGACACAGTGCCTTCTTTGTGGGACTGATGAAGTTTGTCCTGCGTGACCCCCAAAGTGAGATGGTTTGTCCAGGTCTAGAAACATAGAAAGGATTTTTTTTTTACTACACATTCAGGTAGCCTGATAATGATCTCAAACTGAGTTTAATGTTGCATTACAATGTCTCTTGTAACGTGTTCTTTTTCTTCTTTGCTGCAAGAAGGAATAAAACCTCCTTCACTGGTAAACTAAATTGAAACTGTTTGTAGCTTCTACAGCACATTTGTGCCCAAGTGGGGCCTCTGCCAACCTGATTCATGAGCCTCCTAGCCCCGGATGCATCTGGTAATTTTAAAGTCACTCCATACTAACATACGTGCACACACAGTTTAAACAGGATGCTTTGCTACCCCCAATTTAACAGACCAGTGGACAAGATGTGCCACAATGAAGCAGGAAAACGCATGGAAGGCTGCCTTCTCTTCCGTTCTCCAAAGTAACCCATCTGTTCCATGACTCTGTTGCAAGCTATAAAGAATAATTAACACAAGAGCTGTTGCTTTGAAACGCCACGCTGTGCATACTTAGAAGTACTGATATGGCTTGGACGCCTGACTTGTACTCAGATCATCTCTAAGCGATGAGCAACATGCAGAATGCAAAGGGTTTTTTTTCTTGATGCCTCTTTATATTCTGGAACTCTGCTCGGGTTTGCATCCACGGACAAGCGTAGAGGCTTATTCTTGAGCATGCCTTAAATCCTAACAAAAAGAAACAGCAAATCATCCCATAGAACCCAATGCAAAGGAGAAACAAATCTCAGAGATACAAAAAAAAAAGCAGTGGGATTATTCTCACAAAAGTAATGTAAAGAATTTTTAGACCAGGAAATATTTCAATGGCCTTCTTCAGAAGAAAAAAAACATATTCGACCTGGATGGATTTCAAGAAAGTGCATCTCCAAACTTCAGACCAGGAAAGTATAAGATGGGAGCTGATTCTCTCAGCACTTGGAAAATTTACCTTTCTAGACTACAGCTCTTGGAAGAACTGCCTAAACAACTCTGCAAGTTGCAGTCTAAAACATTAATATTTCTAAGCTTTCATTTCTCCTCCCTCCTGGACAAACTGAATAAAATAACCCCTGCACTCTACTTTCTTGGTCTACAAATAGGAGAATTTGAAAAGGCCATTAGTCCACAACAACAGAAAAAAAATATTAAACATGGCCAAAACTCATAGCAGAGCAAATCAATGGTTCTTCTTGCTGGCTTTTTCAACATACGTTTGCAAGATCCAAAGCCACCACCTCCCACCCCCTGAAAAATGGGACATGACTTCACAAAACGGAAATTTGTTTTCTTGAAAGATCCATGTTATCCTTTATTTAGCTTTTTTTAACCCAAAACAAATGTTTAAATTCTGCAACAGTCTGGGGTTGTGGATTATCCTGGCGCCTGGGAAAGATTCATTTCCAATTTAAGTCCTAAGTATTTTGATATCAAACAAATGCTTCAACAGAAGAATTTATGAAGCCGATTTGTGTTAGAGTTTAGATTTTAGACTTAGATGGGGATGGGGGAATGCCACAGGCAAATCCCATCAGAGTACAGTATTCTGCAGGAATTTAATAGTGACATCACCTCATGATGAGCCACGCATTTCATTAGAAAATCTACAAGACCAGTTAGATTCTTGCTCCTATTCACCTTGCAAATACATTTGACCCAAACTGGCTATGTAAGCAGTGATTAAAGACTACAAAGGCCACAATGCATTGCAATTGTGGCTTATATCACAATCTATATGTTTATGTCTCAATGACTTAAATATGCAGTTACTTCATAAGTAACTTCATACATGCATTACTTCATGCATATATGGCCGCAACCCACAGCTAGCACACACATTTAGTAAGTTACCTTGTATATATAAAATAAAAGGTCAGAAAAGGGGATCTTCTGGATCTTATGAAAGAGATAAAGAGGCTTACAAGCTGTCCTTCTATCCAAACTCAGAAACTGTTCTGTCCCAACATCAGAACACAAACCTTTGCATCTCTCTTCCTTGTAGATGAGAACAAGGAACTGCACCATTATTTTTCTCACCCCATAAGAAAGCAAGATATTTTGTTGCCCTCTCAGTAAGAGAAGAAAATGAAACCAAGAACTTTTTGGTACATTGAGCAAAATTGTGCAAAATAACGCTTCAACACAAATAATACAATTTGCACAAGATGATGGTGGTTGCTGCTTTTTTCCATGAACCTTTAAGCATCAGAAGCAGTGAAGGGGGGTGTTTCTACCTCTTGTTCAGTGCTTCATGTTAGTTGGCCTTTATTCTATGTCTCATGTTAATATATATGCTTTATTTCTCAAAGAATAAGAATATGAGCTTTTCACAGGTAGTTTGCAGACGTTCAGAGACCGTGAAAAGCTAAAAATGCACTCCTCCTTTCACTCTTGCCTGGAAGCAAAGAATGGAATTCTGAAGTCATGATCAAGGTGTCTTGTCAAGCTAAGAAACAATAAATTGACAGGAATGAAGAATTTAATGTATGTTCTTTAGATCCCAGCAAAGCTCCATATTTCTTTGCATGAAGCAAGTGGGACCTAAGAATCAGTAATTTTTCCCAGCAAATGGGACACAGATGCCAAGTCGACTGCCCTATAGGTGTGGTTTAGAGCCAGCCCTACAATTAGACAGAATGAAGAAGCCATCCCAGAAATTATCATCATTATCTTAGAACTGGAGAGGTGGAAAAGACCCTATGGATCAAGTCCAGCCCCAAAAAGACATAAGGAGGAATTGAATTCCCAAACTCTGGCTGCGTAGACAGATACCTAAATGACTGAACTATTCTGAAAGCTTATTTGAGAATCTTTAAAGATTAATATAGTAAGTTATTGAATGTAACAATGGGCACGTGACTTATTCCAAATTAATTAATTAATTGTGTTAACTTCTATGCTGCCTTTTTCTAGCTCACAGGTCATAAAACAAACAAAAACTTAAAATAAGTCACAGAACCCATTATAAAGTTATTAAAAACGTGGCGGTGTCCCCTGCTTTGACCACTAGCAAACTATATTTCAGTGGGGTGCTCCCATCATGGTCATGAGCCCCCAATCTGCCTTAGCTACCGTTCCTAATCAATAATCTATGAAAACAAACACCATTATTATTAGTAGTAGGAGGAGTAGTAGTAGTTTTATTTGTATACCGCATTTCTCCCAACAAGGGACCTAAAACGGCACACGGCATTGAAATCAACACAATTAAAAACACAATAAGTTAAATATAAAAGTTAAATGTTGCGTTACTGGCAACAATGGACAGATCAGAAAGGCTAATTTGTAGTGGTTGAACTAAGCAATATATAAAATGGAGGTTTACCTTTCCGAGCAATTCGGATGCAATTCAATCTTGTTTCCTAAAGAAAGAAGAAAAAGACACAGACGTTTTATGTACCCATCAAGAGGATTTGCTATGTTCTGCTCTAGAACTGAAAAGGGGAAATAATACTCTACCAAAGTCATCTGTGAGCTTTCCTTCCCATTTCTACTTTGCACAGCATGGTAAATAGAGGCAAAATGAATCAATCAATCAATGCAATCAAAACTAGATTTATTATGGCTGTTAAGTGATGGGAAACATAAGGGATAATGGTTACAGTTGCTCTTCTAGAAAATCAAGCTTTGTGGTTCATGCCTAGGATGAGCTGAACAGGAGAAGGAAGAGAAAGTGTACACTTGTAACTGGAAGGCATCAAACACCTTTGCCTTATCTCTGTAATAAAGGAAAGTTCAAGGTTGGACTGAGTTCACTCCCTGATTGAACAGAATTAACCAGCAGAATGGTTTCAACTGAGTGAAGGGAAGGAAGAAGTTACTCTCTTCTTTGTGAAAGCAGATTTGCAGATCTTCTGGAAGGGTCAGGAAAGTATTTGGGTATAAAAATGGAGATAGAAGTAACTTAGTTTAGCCAAGTTATCTTCTAGGAGAATGCTTTGCTCATCTCCTGGTCTGCTACATGACATACACTCTGTATATGCTCAGGGACTATGCTGCAGCTATGCCAGGATGCAACTATAGATTAACTAGTTTTCTAATTTTGTTCTGTTGGACTGTTCTGGGATTATTCTTACCTCAAACCATTTTATGACCTATTTTGCTGTACAAGCCTTCTAATTATTTTGTAACAGTTGAAACTGCTTTTAAGTTTTACATTTTTTTAGCCACCTTTAATAAAACACACAATTTTACAGCTGTTTGGTTCTTTGGGGGCTGAGAGGATTGGTGATATTAAAATCAGGCTTGTTTCAAACATCTACTGGGATCCTGTATGCTTTGTTGTATTTTTAACATTCCTATCTTGCAGGGTGTTGGAGTTTTATTTGCAACCTTGTGTGCTATCTGTGGTTTGTGTGACTGGGAAGGATTTTTCTGGGCTAGGGTCCATTCTCTTTTTCTTTCTGTCCTGGATTAGTAGCAGGTGCTTTGTTTCCTGTTGATCTGTTTAATTTATTTCTAAGTATGTATGGAGTAAAGAAAGAAGCATACACAAGTCTGTAACTTCAATTGACTGTAAGTAAATGAATGGTTTTTTATTCTTTCTCCTATAAATGTCTCAAAGTGAGTTACTGAGATTTTAAGTGCCAATTAATGAGAAAAAGGGATGAACTCTGTGGAACCTGTGGCTATTCTCCTCTGTGGATCTCTGTACTTATGAACTCTGTGAAACCTGTGGCTATTCTCCTCTGTTGATCTCTGTACTTCTAGTGCATAGCAAAAAGGAATTGTACCAGAAATTCCAAAATCTGCAACACTGGGTTGGTGTGAGAGTCACAGTGTTTAACCCTTTGGATTTTTAGTAACTCATCCGAAGCACTGCTTAGTTAGAGCAGACTGAGGTACTGGGCAGAAAGATCCTAGTCATCAGTACATTTGGACCTCCTGGATTTTACCCACACCAGGACAGTTAAGATAATATGGCTGAGTGATTAATGTGGACCTATCTGTCCTGGACGTGGTGGCACTGTGGGCTAAACCGAAGAAGCCTGTGCTGCAGGGTCAGAAGACCAGCAGTCGTAAAATCAAATCCACGCAACGGAGTGAGCTCCCGTCGCTTGTCCCAGCTCCCGCCGTTGTATGGCTGAGTGATTAATGTGGGCCTATCTGTCCTGGAGAAACCTTGACATTGGCATCATGAAAATCTCAATATATTTTCAACATTAAAAGTCTGGGTGGGCAACCACTGTTACAGTAAGGTATCTAGTCCCCAGAGTAAAATATGCCACACACAGAGGAAGCACAAACTTTAGATACAGAAGTTCCTAACAGCCAAAATCTTGCTGTGCAACTACATGAACGGAACTCAAGTATGCATGTGCAACAGAGCTGAGCTAACACCGAGGCACAAGTGCTATCCCCAAAGCACTTCTGCCAGCCCCCATAGAGTCGAACACGACTGGACAAAAATTGTCAAGGGGAACCTTTACCTTTACCTTTATCTGTCCTGGAGAAACACTGACATTAGCATCTTGAAAATCTCAATATATTTTCAACATTAAAAGTCTGGGTGGGCAACCACTGTTACAGTAAGGTATCTAGTCCCCAGAGTAAAATATGCCACACACAGAGGAAGCACAAACTTTAGATACAGAAGTTCCTAATGGCCAAAATCCTGCTGTGCAACTACATGAATGGAACTCAAGTATGCATGTGGAATAGAGCTGAGCTAACATCAAGGCAGAAGTACTATCCCCAAAGCACTTCTGCCAGCACATCTCACAATTCACAGCAAACACAAGACACTAGCTTTATGGGCCCACAGCATGGGAAAGGGATAATCATTCAGCAAATGAGAAGACACTTTGCATGCAAAAGTCCCCAACTTCATATTCCAGTATCTACGGGTTTGTTTGATTAAACAAAAACACAACTCAGGTTGCAAGGTTGGAAGACATTTACAGAATACACCAGAGACCTACTGCCAAATTAGTGGCAGGTAGAGCAATCGGATGATATAATATTAGACATTCTAATATATTCATTAGAGATGGATTGTCTGTTTCACTCTCTATAGTGTTTATACTTAGTGCTTCCACATCGTTTCTTGCATAATTTTATCAGTTTTTTCAACTCCACAAAAATTGCATGCATAAAAAATCATAGCCATTTTGTACCTTCATAATAAATGCCTTTTTTGCATAATGTTTTCCTGAGCATATGCACAGTAATGTGCAATTTATCTGAATGTATACATTTTTGTATGCATTTCAGATCAGAGAATAATACCACAACATTTTGAGGTGTGGTCAAACTGAAGCATAATTGGGATGTAGATCACATATAAAGTTTGAAAGTGAAAATTAGTTTGATTTGTATAAAACTGTGAACCAAACAACATTCTCTTCTGCCATTCTATTCAGCTAAGTGGCATTTGGTGGAGTCTGATCCTGGAATGAGTTTCCAAGGAGAAAATCTCAAGCAGCACACAGACTGTGAGTAACATCTTAAAAGTATGCAGAGTATGAACTTCTGGATAGCTCAGTGGTTTAAGTATCTGGCTGTGGAGTCAGAGGCTGGGAGTCTGGTTCCCTACAGTGCCTCCTTGACAGGGGCTGCATCCAATGTTCCATAGGGTCCCTTCCAACTCTGCCGTTCTATTATTATTTATCTCTATTTCAGAGGGAGGCTTAAATGACAACTTCTCCCTTGAGAGTGGCTTCATTAGAGATCCAGTCGTTTGAGTGAAGTGGGTGATCAAAAGTGTATGGATTCTGTTGACTGTTGCTTTACTTAAATGTTGTATTAAAAATAAATTGTTCATCAAAGCAAAATTAAACACAGGAAAATGTCCAAAACAGTAGAAAAGGAGTCTTGTGTTTAATGCAGGGGTCTTCAAACTACAGTCCACGGGCCACATCCAGCCCACCTAGTCTTTTTATCTGGCCGGGCAGCCATTTGGAAAACCTGGGGTCTCTATGGAGGAATCGCCATGCATTTCCTGTTTGGTATAGGCTGTAATTTTTGTTTCTCTTTGTCCCTAGTCATCATCATAGGCATCCTTCAGTCTCGAGAGACTATGGTAACATGCTCTGAATCCAGGAGTGTCCTCTCCAGAGCATGAAGCCTGGGTAAGGTAATATGGAGGATAGGCTGTTACCCAAGCAGCAGATCCCCCCCTCTCCACGTTGCTCAAATGGTCCAATGGAAAGGCAAGAGCCAATACAACTGGTTCCAGCAATGTCGCAGGAGTTGGCAGAACGACACATGCTGCCTTCGGGACTCCAGCTCCAGATTGGTACATACCTATAATTGGAATGTACCATAAAGAACATCTGGCTTTATGCGCTTGTAAATGAATGTCTCAAACGCATCATGGTTGTGAACAGCCACTTGCCTAGTCACTTATAACAAAGGAGAGTTACCTTTAGCAATCAGGCAGCTAAAACATTTGTAAACTGGAAGCACAGTTTTTATGCCTAGTGTAGCTTTTAAAATGAATATTTAGGGGCCACCAGGTTTTTCAGGTCCCCCCCCCCAAATCTGCCATTCTTAAATATCACACAATTCTTTTCAATTACTTTTCAGTTCCAAAATCACCTCTTTTCCCAGACAATTTGTCCCGTTGGTTGGGATATCAAGTGCAAAAAATAAAATAAAATAAAATAAAATAAATGAATAGACATGCTAATTTTCTCTTATTGTGTAAAATACGGTATGCATAAGCAGTTGCTAGTTTAAAAAGAAGCCCTCATATGATCACACAATTCTTTTCAATTACTTTTCAGTTCCAAAATCACCTCTTTTCCCAGACAATTTGTCCCGTTGGTTGGGATATCAAGTGCAAAAAATAAAATAAAATAAAATAAAATAAATGAATAGACATGCTAATTTTCTCTTATTGTGTAAAATACGGTATGCATAAGCAGTTGCTAGTTTAAAAAGAAGCCCTCATATGTTACATATCTGACATCCATTAAGTATTGTGAGCTTAATAAGTCACTTATCTAAGTGCACATCTATCACCCATAATATTTTAGGGATCAGGACGAAGCTGTATGGGTTTCTTTTATTGATAAAACAAACAAACATCAGGGACACAATCCTGATGGTTCAAAGGGTCTGGAAAAGAGGAACTGCTGCAGCTGGCGTCCTTTCTCTGAGAGAAGTCTGTTCCAGATAGTGAGAGGGCATCAGAGAGGAGACTAGGGCTATAAAGTCAGGGGAGGCTTTAACCATCATCATCATCATCAGCATCTTAAAACTGCAGGACTGGAAGGGACCTTATTGGTCATGGGGTCCAGCCCCTGTCAAGGGGACCCGGGGGGGATTTGAACTCCCAACCTCTAGCCAGAGAGCTAACTGACTGAGCTATCCAGTAGTTCATTAAGGATCATCAATGTCTTAGAACTGGCCGCCTGGA